CCTATCTCCAATAAACCACCAGAAAACCGGAAGTGGCACTGTAGCTCAAGTGGTAGAGCGCTCGCCTTGAGCTGAAGAGCTGAGGGACAGCACCGAGGCCCAGAGTTCAGGCCCCATGACCGGACCCAAAAAAAAAGAGAGAGAGAGAGAGAGAAATGTACACATTACCTGACTTATGTAACCCCCTCAGTATCTCACCTTTACAATAAACAATGACTACAACAACAACAACAACAACAAACCAGCCTCTGTAAGCTAGAGGCATGGCTCAAGTGGTTGAGTCCCAGCCAAGCAAATAAGGCCATTAGTTCAAACCCCAGTACCAGCAAAATAAAAACAAAACACTTGGCAGAATGGCTCAACTAATGGCTGGGTGTGGTGGCATACACTTGTAACCCCAGGCTGGCCTCTGTACAAAACAGCAGAAAAAGGGGCTAGAGGAGTGTCTCAAGAGACAGAGCCCCTGATTAAGCAGCTGATGCCCTGAGTTCAATTCCCAGTACTACCAAAAATAAAACACCAACAACTGTCAGGTACTGGTGGCTCACACCTGTAATCCTAGCTGCACAGTAGGCTGAGAACTGAGGATCACAGTTCAAAGCCAGCCTGAGCAGGAAAGTCCATGAGACTCTTATCTCCAATTAACCACCAGATAACTAGAGGTAGAGCTATGGCTCAAAGTGATAGAGCACTCGCCTTGAGCACAGCAGCTCAGGGACAGCACCTAGGCCCTGAGTTCAAGCCCCACAATTAAAAAAACATAAAACAGCAACAACAATCCAGGGCTAAGGCTGCGGCTCTGTAGGAGAGCGTGCCTGGCCTGCACGTGGCCTGGGTCTGGTCCCACAGTAGACCTACTCATTTTCACCTACACTACAAAGATCTCTTACAACCCCGTCAGTAGCTTATGAACTGAGTTAGCTCCGGTTCTCACCTGTGTCAGTGTCGAAGCTAACGGTGGCATGGAAGCGCTTGCCATGCTTCAGGATGTCCAGAGTCAGGAGGACCTCTGGGCTCTCCCGCTTCTCCTGGATGCGGTATAACGCACGTTCCAAGTTTAGCCAAAAACTGATTTCCTGTAAGGCAGTTCCTGACGCAGGATCTCGATCCAGTTTGGTCACCTATGAATACAAAGTAACATTCAAGGATATTCACTACTTACCCAGAGAACAAACAAGTATTCCTGAAATGCACTACAACTCCACATAGACTGCCTCCCTGTAAAGTGGAAGTGGTCTGCTGAGAGTCTGCTGGGTGATGCTCAGGGCTAGTGTGTTCACTGCACCTGACCATCCCACCCACACCCACACCTGCGCCGGTCCTGCGTGAGCACTGCCAGGAGAAGCAGGAACCACTTCCAGGTTATCCCACGAGTTACCTCTCTGACAAAGCCCAGACCAGGTTCCCATAGATATCAAAGAGTAATCGAATTTTTACACAATTTTTCAATATTGTGTTCTTACTTTTTGTTTTTTGGGTTTCTTTTGGGGTCCGGGTCGTGGGGCCCGGACTCTGGGCCTAGGCACTGTCCCCCAGCTCTTCAGCTCAAGGCAAGCGCTCTACCACTGAGCCACCTTCCCAGCCCCTAAAATAGTTCTTAAAGAAATAAAGTACTCATAGCTGAGCACCGGTGGCTCACGCCTATAATCCTAGCTACTCAGGAGGCTGAGATCTGAGAATCATGGTTCAAAGCCAGCCTGGGCAGGAAAGTTCATGAGACTCTAATTTCCAATAAACCACTAGAAAACCGGAAGTGGCTCTGTGGCTCAAGCAGTAGAGAGCTTGCCTTGAGCAGAAGAGCTGAGGGACAGCACCCAGGCCCAAGCTCAAGCCCCACAACCGACGAAATAAAAAAGGAGGAAAAAAAAAGGAAGTACTCATTACCTGACTTATACAACTGTCACCCCTCTGTACATCCCTGTTACAATAACAGTTTTAAAAGGCAACACAATATGCACGTATGAGGTTTTAGAATGCAGTCATACCTGTGGCCTCAGGACCCTGACGATGACAGCTCTTAGCTGTTCATGCTGGCGCCTAAATTTCCTCATCTGGTCCAGGCGAGCCTGGAGCTTCCTGTGAGCAGGATTAATGCGCCACACCATCTTCAGATTTTCCTCCCTCTTTCTCTTGACGATGTCTCTGAGCAACACCTGCAGTTTCTCATACTCATCATCCCAAGTCTGGAAAACTTCGAAGCAAGCTACCATAACCTATAATGCAATTTAAGAAAAGGAGCTTAGCACTGGAACAGATTTCTTTTCACTGCCTGGAGGTGGGTTTCGTGAGGTTAAACTTACTTTTTCAAATTCCTCATAAGCAACGTGCATTAATTTTCTTGTGCCCAATACTTTGAGTAACTGAGAACTCAAATCTCTTGAAATTGCCTCCACCAAACGCAGGGCCCTCTGAATGGGATATTTTGTGTTTCGGATTTTTCTCAAATGGGTGAAAATTGCAACAAGTGCCTGCCTTATTTTGTCCAGCTCAGTGGCAGAGAGTAAGTCATTGAGAGGGAAGTCCTTCATCAGCGGGTTGTAGTCATTCACGGTCTCCAAAGCCTGCTTTAGACCTACATCAACAAGGAAACAGCTATAGGTTTTCATATAAAATAATAAAACTCAGAGATATATCCTAACAGGGAAACATTTTGATGCTATGATGCTACAAACCTTTAGAGACTGTTCATGGTACCTGAAAAGGAAGCATTACGGATAGCCTGAGTATAAGAGCACGCTCAACCCATGAACGCTCTCAATACTGTGGGGAGAGCCTTGTCAGTTCACACACACACACACACACACACACACACACACACACGCATGTGCTTTCTACATCATTTATGCATAAGTTTAGAGATGCTAAAATGTTGTCATCCTTGAGAACACTAAAATGTAATTTCAGCCAGGCTCATGCCTGTAATCCTAGCTACAAGAGGCTGAGATTTGAGAATCGTAGTTCAAAGTCAGCCCTGGTAGAAAACTTACCTATAATTAGCTACTAAAAAAGACAAGGGCAGGGCTGGGAAGGTGGCTCAGTGGTAGAGCGCTTGCCTTGCATGCCTGAGGCCCTGGGTTTGAT